TTGATTTGAAGAGGGGGAGAGAGTCCAGGTTCCTGATGTCCGGTGGAAGTGAGTTCCAGAGTCTTATAAGACACTTATCTGTATGAACGTAACTTCTTACATTACATTGCAAACAAATAACTTTCCTTAAGTTCCGAAAACACAGCTCAAGTTTTTTTATTATCAACCAACTCAGACAGAGTCTGATGAGTTCAACAGAACTCATCAGAAACCAAGGACGTTTTACTAAAAAGTGTGTCTCTTAAATCACCCTATAATGAGCTATAAAACATGAAATGGACTTCACCTTCAACCTGAAACAAACCTTTTATCTTCAGACCATTAAACCTGTCGGTTTCTAGAGCTAATGGTAGCATATCTGACTGTATCTGTGCACAGACTGGAAGTCTTTGAGTTGTCAAATTCAGCTACACATAAGGCCCTGCACTGTTCATAATTTAGATTTGTATCAAACATCAAGACACTATCCTTCCTTATAAATGAGGAAAAATAAATCAATCCTACAAAATAAAAACGTCACCTCACTTAAAGATCTTTCTAGTACGCAGCAGGCATATTTAAGTTGAATCATCTCACATTTATGTCCACTGATGTTGAAAACTAGTGTTGTTTCTCACAGAAACGATTGAATTACCCTGCAATGAACTGTATTACAATGCACATGTTCATCCAGAAACATAATCTGAAACAGCTTTGCTCAAAACCGATCCCAGCGTTGTACCTGCTGAATGGACAAAAAAGTCAGAAGCTAATCCAAAGATATTTATATTGCTCAGAATATAACAGCACTGTTGAACCAAGATTGAAAGAAAGTGTGCTTCTTGTAAATGTGTAAAACTTTATCCGAGTTTACAATTAATGTCCCCTTCCAGCACCGTTCAGTCATAACATTAAGCTTCTTCTGCAGGTCTTTTTCATTCTCTGCAAGTAAGATTATCATCTGCATAAAGTAGCACAATGAAATCATCCCACTTTAACCTCCAGTTTACAAGATTTAATTTCAAGAGCTAAATCATTATCATCATCATCATCATCATCATCACTCCTTATTTCACAACAAATTGCTGGTTTATTTTTATTGTATTATTAGTAGTGGCAGTTGCAGTGCCGTTTGCTTTACTACTTCCAACGTTTTACAAGATCCCTTGAAGGTATGCAGACATAAAAGGAGAGTTTACCAAAAATCTGTAAACAATAAAAAATCATTTACTTTCTTACATCAGCTTTGGCATATAAAATAAAATCTTGCCTGAATAATGGCAAACAAAACAAACATTTCCTTTGATTTCCGCTGTCTCCTACATAGCTGGAAGATATTTGGACCACCCCTTCGTTATTGCTTTCTCCCCCATATTTTAGAGATTATAAGCCACAGCTTTCTGGTGCAATTTGGCTGGATAACAATTACATAAATGTCAACACACTCAGTCGTTAAACAAGCCAAAATCTCTCGCTCACCCACCGCTGAGCCTTGGGCTACACATGTTGTACATTTACAGTCAGTTCATCTTGGCTGATTTCCTAACAGACAAATTTACGGAGTGATTTGTGAATTTTGGGTTTTAGTTTCTCTTGATTACTCATCTGTATTTCATAGGTAATTTAACCCCTTCAGTAGATCATAAATAAGCCCAAATAGGCATGTTTCATTCAGCTTGAATTTCAGAAAGTGACCACCAGAGTATTAAGAAGTATTAAGTATCTCACTTATAAAAACGGTAAGCAGACCTTTTGCTGTTTGCAGATGGATGGCCTCCTCTCCATCCCTTCACCTTCTCCTTTTTTCTTCCCAGATGTGATGGTGTGGTCCAATGAGCGCGTGATGTGCTGGGTGCAGACTCTTGGTCTGAAGGAGTACGCAGACAACCTGCGTGAGAGTGGAGTCCACGGGGCTCTGCTGGCTTTAGACGACACCTTTGATTACACTGACCTGGCCCTGCTGCTGCAGATCCCCAATCAGAACACACAGGTAAAGGACAGGTAGTCTAAGGTAAATAATGAAAATGCTTTTCATATCTGTATCAGTTGTTTATTTTAACTTATGATGAGCAATTAGTAAACAGTAGGGATAGAAAAGTAGTTTTTAAGGACTTCACTCCAAACATGTTTTTAAAAAAATATTTTTGGCATTTTTTCTTTTTTAATAGAGACAGGAAACATGGAGAGAGGTTCCAAACTGGAATCAAACCATCAGCGTTGCATTTTACTCCAGGTCTTACCTCATATAAAATCACATGAATAAAGTTTTTTCCACAAAAAAATCAATTAATGGGATAAAATGTCTTAAAATCACTTCCTCATTGAAAAATCCAGAAACTTTGTTATGCAACGCTTGTCAAAAGTTAACTGTTAAGCACAAGATGATTTGTAGTTCAATGAAAATGTGACCTGGAGGCTTCAAGTTACCTCATCACACTTGTCTAAGCTGCATAATAGACCATGACTGGCTACTAGTTGGGATGTCATAAAATCGTGCTCGCAACTACAGACAGAGAAATCTTCCCTATTAAGCAGAATAATTTCAAAACATACTTCTGATGGAAGTATGTTAGGTAAATTGACGCCCGCACAGTGATTGGTCTCCTAATGGGGTTTAACATTAAATTCCTTGAGCACAAAATTGTGCAGTAGCCGATTAAGAGTATTAAATGTAGGCTGTTAAAAGTACAAGTATTGAAATGGACTGTGGATGATTAAAATATAATATGATATATATATATA